CGGGAGTCTTTCCACACAACTGCCATATGATAGGTGGGCTACAGGTACTTGATGAGTCTTGGTTAATTTATTACTAAAAAATATTTATCACTTGAAAGTGTCTTCTATTCTGAAACCCTGAAGCCAAGTGTTTTAGGAGAATGTGTGATGTGTATTAACTTTTTTTTCTTTTTTCTTTTTCTTTTTTTTTTTTTTTTTTTTTTTTTTTTTTGTGCTGAAAATGCTTTGTAAAAAGAGAAAATAGCCAATCAAAGCTGGCCTTGGTGGGACATACCTATAATCCTAGCATTTAGAAGACTGAGATAGGAGACTGGCTACTTTGAGGCCAGCCTGGGCTTCTTCTGGGTTAGTGCTTAGTGGATTACAGTGCTTTCCAGCAAGTACAGGGTAACTCTGGTTACTACTGTACTGCATGCTTCAAATTTACTAAGAGTAGGTGATGGGGGATGTCCTTCTGCATATATGTTTCTCTTATTGGTTGATGAATGAAACTCTGTTTGACTAATAGAGACAGGAAGATAGGCAGGATTAGGAGATGAGGAGAATTCTGGGAAAGGTAGTCAGAGAGGTGCCATAAAGGACATTGCCATGTTACCACCAAAGGAGTAACAGGTCCAGGTATTCTCCAGTAAGCCAAGCCCACATGAAAATACATAGATGAGTAGAAATGGGCTTAATTATTTAGACAGAGCTAGTTTATAAGAAGTCCTAGCCATCAGCCAACAGTTTTATAATTAATATAGCATTTGTGTGTTTATTTGGGGCTCAAGGGTGGTGGGACCTGGCTGGAAGAAAATTCCAACAACAAGTAGGTCTCTTTCTCTTTCTCTCTCACACACATTTATTATTTATTATTTGTGTCACTGTAAGTGTGTGGAGGTCAGAGGACAACTTGGGAAAATCAATTTTCTGGGTCCTGGGGATTGGTCTAAGTTCATAAGGCTTGGCAGCCAACATCTTTATTGGCTGAGCCATCTCTGTGGCCCCTAAGAGTAGATCTTAGAGTGTTTTCATCACATAAACAGCTGTGAGGTGTGATGAGTATGCTCATTAACTTGATTGTGGTAATCCCTTAGTAGTGTGAGCATCTATCAGAATATCCTGCTTTGTACTTTAATCACATATAATTTTTGCTTGTTGATTATACCTCAATAGCCTGGAGGCAAGGAGCTAAACTTTTCCTTTTTCCCTCAAGCTTTTCTGTAGGCCCACCCACCTTTTCTGGCCTCTAACCCATATGCCACTTTCCAACAGGTTCCTCCACTCCTCACATTCCTTGACAATTGCTAATTAGCTTAGAAACAGAAAACCCAGCCTAACATAAATCCTCTATTCTCTCCATTTCCTGGAGTTGTTCTTACTCGAGTACAGATAAAGGCACGTTGCCCTGGACCCTGGGCCAGGACACTTCACTGTATTTTATGTAGGGACACCTCCTTCTCCATCTTCATATACTTTCATCAAGTATTAGAAGAAGACACGTCAAGACTATTCTCTTGATAGCTTCCAAACTCTCCTTTCCCCTCCTGCCTTTAAGACTCCCTCCTCCTGAGGCTAGGCATGGCTTGGCAGGCAACGTTGTGCTTATTATATACATGCATAGAAAGGACTCAAGTTTGTGTTCACTTAAAAACCACCAACCCCAGTCCTGGGGGAAGGGGAGGGGTGGAGACAGGCAAGTACCTGGGGTTAGCTGGCCAGCCTAACAAAAACAGCTAGTTTCAGGTTCAGTAAGAGATCTGGTTACAATAAATTAAGGTGAAGAGTGATAGGGGAGGGCACCTGGCCTCTGGCCTCCACTGGTGAACACATGAGTATTAGGGGTGAGGGGAGAGGTGCAGGCAGATCATGCTTCTGCATTCACCATGCTTCTTCATTTTTCTCTCATGTCTTCACAAGCTCTTTAGGGATCATTTCAATAATTCCGAAAAGACTGCACTATTTGTTTCTATAACTGTAATTTCTCAATGCATTTGCTATTGAAAGAAAGAAAAAATAAAAGGGAGGGAGGGAGGTATAAGGATTGGCTAGCGGTGTTGCTTTGTGGAAGAGCCATGCATACATGCCTTCTCCCAGGAAGTGTTCTACTCAAAGCAGAGTGTGTGTTGGAAGGACATGTGTGGCTGAAACAGAAGACATTTTTGTTTGAAAACAATAGATGCCCTTAGAGTTATGCCTATCTAACTTCTTTGCAAGCTGTACCCAGAATGGTTCAGGTGGTTATGCCAAGAAGGTAAGTAACATTACCTGCCAGATGTGTGGAACATGCAGTAAGCTAATGCCCAATAAATGTCAGTTGTTATTAATTCAATGGACTTCAAGGAACATATTAAAATGAATGCTCTTCTTTGAGCAGAAGGGGAGGAAAAAAATTCTCTAATGGGAAAACATTTCTTTTAAATCAAGTAATAGAAGGGAATTCTAACCAGGCCAGGAGATTTTTCTAATGTGTCTGAAGATAACAAAAACAAATTATAAATACCTAGTAATATTTAAGCCAGTGTGTTCATGTTCAGAACTTTTCTCAATGGTTTCTTGAAATCACATTGGTTTCTGTTCTTATTTAAACTTAAAGGTGGGAGATCCTTCACACAGTCTGTGATCATGGGCACCAACAGTGTTTGTTCATCAAAGTTACCTCTGTGACAAGAAGATGAAGAATGTTTTCCAGTTCTAGTAAAGGTAAACATTTTTTTAAAAAAGATTTATTTATTTATTATGTATACAGATTCTGACTGTGTGTATGCCTGCTCTTACCCTCTGAGTCACTTCTCCAACCCCACAGATGTACATTTTAAGGAGCCAAAGGCAAAATCACCAACATAAGCACTCTGGCACCTTGAAAGCAGATTGTTGTGGCCAATAGAAGTGGAGCATGTATGCATGCTTCTTTCACAAAGGGACACTAATAGCCAGAGCTTTTATTTCCCCAATATCAAACACATTGCTTTTCTGGCTATTTCCAGGAAATTGCTTTACCTGACCTATACAACTAAGAAATCTCATAGTTACTCAAGGATAAGGCCTTAAAACAGACTATTAAGTGCCACAGCTTAAATCTAAATCATTGCCTGAGGATGAATAGCAAGAAGTCAGCAGGGCCCTTCTGCTTGAATAAACACACAAGATAGAGGGAATAAGATTCCCTAAGGCAAACCTTGAGGAAAAGGCTCCAAATTCAGACTGGACAGCCAATAATTTCATGGAGCTGGAGGGAATGACTTTAAAAGGTGCAGTTTTGGGAGAACTCCGAGCACTTCTTTCTGTTCAACACCTTTTCTTCTAGAAGATCACATTATATGTAGTTTTCCTAAGATAATCATTTTAGTACCAAGAATACATGCTTTGAAGTATTCAATAGCATTGAAATTGTTAATTTGAAACCAAAAATTAAATCTTGGTTTTGGTTAGCATATGCTTGATATAAGAAAATGTTGGGAGTGGGGATATGGTTTAGTAGGTAAACTAAACTACAGAAAACATGTGGACCTGAGTCTGAGCCTCCAAAAAACACATGAAAATTCTGGAAATGATGCAACCTTCGAAATCTCAGCACTGGGGAGGGAGACAAGATCTCTAGGACCTTTGGGGTCAGCCAGCCTAAACTGCTTGTAAACTCCAGGTCACTGAGACCCTTTCTCAAAAGAGGGTGGGTAGCATTCCTGAGAATGACACCTGAGGTTATTCCGTAGTTTCTACCCATGCACACACGCATGTAGGTACTCATTTAAAAAATGAGATATAGGTACTGAAGAGAAAGATGGCCCAACATTTAGGAATAGTGGTTGCTTTTCCAGAGGACTAAGCTCGATTGCCCACATCTGCATGGAATGGAATAGTTTGCAACTACTGGTAATTGCAGCTTCCAGGTAATTCGATATTCTCTTCTCCTGAGCACTGAGCATAGAAATCTGAAATCAGGAATGATGGCACCTGACTGTATCCCAGAACTGAGGGGTTGGTGTAAGATGATCAGCGGTTTGAGGCTAGTTTGTCATATATTATGAGACCATGTCTAAGCCAACTAATCAATCAATTCAATTGGTTGAGCTAGAACTGGAGGAGAGGCTGTGACACCTTAGCCTGCTTTGAGTGTGTGAGAGCCTTGATTTGATCCTCAGCACAAAAAAATTAATGACAATAACATCTTTATAAAATAGGTTTTGAGAGAGAGCTGCAATTCATCCATTTCGCTGCTTTTTAGAATGGGCTTCATCTAAAAAACATGTGGACTCTGCCACTTGCTGAGTTCTGAATGTCGGAGGCACAGCTGAGGGGGAAAGAACCCTTGTCCCCAAATACTGAGCTTAGTCCAGATGCCATCAGGTCCACCCTGCTGATGGCTTCTGGGTGCTCATAGCCACATTTTAGATGAAACTGAGTCTAGAAAATTGCAAAATAGATCTCTCTCGGCAACAGAATAATTCATAAACTTGTAAAAGATTTTACTATCATTATTCTTTTGTGCTAAGAATCAAATCAAGGTTCCTATACATGCCAGATAGGCTATAGAGCTTTATAACCATGGGGTTAATCTGTGGAAATCTGTCCTCTCCATCACTGGACACAAGCTGAAATGTGCCCAACATCTAGGAATGCCACTCACAGCATGCTTCTAAATTCCCCACCTTCATTTTTGTGCATGACCTGTTACTTTTTATTTTTCTTTCCTTTTTTTTTTTTTTTTTTTTTTTTTTTTTTTCTTCAGTTTCATTGTACAGCCCTGGCTGGCCTGGAACTGGCTTCAGAAACCAGGCTTGTCATGAGATTACAATGCACCTACCTCTGAAGTTCAACACCACACCTAACCTTTCATCTTATGCAATGTAATTTTTCTAGCCATATCCTCCTTTCAGACTTTTTTTTTAAACCTTGGTAATTTTAGACCTCTCTGCCTTGATTTTTCAATTACTATTCACAAATATATAAACTAACTTTATTATGATTAGTGGAACTAAAAGGGAATAATTTGTGCAGACACAGCATTGGTTTCTGAATAATTGATTTTAATGATGATATGACTGATTAAGTAAAATTTATCATAAATAGTATTGCATTTTATTCTTCATAATGATGATTTAAACAACTAAAAACATTCAGGTCCATCATTCCTACACATGAACTATTAAAACAGCCTCTTCCAAGTCATGTGAAGAAGTAAATTCATTGAAATGAACCCTGGGTGACACAGATACATGTTTTGAAATCATAATGTTCCTGGTTTTTAAGCAGTTTGTTACCTTGGCCTTGAAAGAACCTAGGCAGTTGCCTATAAGATAAACAATCTTTTAAAATTAGTTTTAAACAAATGACATACACATCTTGATTGACTTAATAGCTAAAATTCCATTTTATTTGTGAAAGTATTTACTAAAAGTTTTCTATACAAGACCTTAATGATTTTATTTTAAAATTAGTGTTCATTAACAAATATGAAGTAAATTATATAAAGCCCTTATCTCTCCCAATGAACCGGAATTGTGTTCTTCTGGACTGTCTTATGATTTTATTTTCAAGTTTGCTTTTTTTTAGTTCTCTGAATTATTTGTCTCTGTATGGATTTCTTTTGCTTTAAGTCATATTGGAAAATGTATAATCAGAATTCATTGAGTCCCAGTAACAGACGCTGCATAGGCCCTGCCTGTGTCAAGCATCAGGGCACTATCAAGCATCAGACACAGTTCAACACATGCAGTGCTAGGAAGGTGAGGTATCAGTAAGTGTGGAGACTTCACAGCATTAAATGTGGACTCAGGAACTCTAGAATCCTAGTTTTACTCCTACAGTAGGGGAAGAAAAAGACCTTCAAACTTGCCATTTTACTGTAAATTAAATGCAGCCACACTACAATACTAAGAGTGTTTCGATGAATAACATACAATGCTTGATTTAAAAAAAATAATAATTTCCAGTTTTACAAAGTTCAAGAGTTCATCCAGTATAAAGCAAATGGGGCCCTATGTGTTAACTGCTGGTGACTTCAGGTAAAGGTTGCTTGCTGGGTCACTGGAGATTGCTTTAACCCTGCATTTTCAAAACAGAAACAGAAAAACTGTTCAAGTCACAGCTGTTTGCACACATTTTATGTCTCCAGGTACCACGGGTTTTAGATTTAAAAGATGCTTTGTCTCATAGGTAAAAGCCCGTCTAGTAAAAGAAGTATTCAATGAAACCTGGACACAAACTAAAGAAAGAAACCAGAAGCCAGTAGAGCGGGCACCCAGAACTATCATTGCATTGAATCAGCGATGCAGTTCCACAGCAGGCATGTTTCTATTGGTCCAACCCCAAACCTAGCTTTTCTAAAGATAAGAGTTGTCATTACAAGAAAAATATATTCTAGCTTTGAGGCAGAAAACATACTTTCTCAGTTGAATGCCCTAAAATTGTCTGGTGCTATGATTTTCTCATGGGTTATTAAAGATGACTATGTTTTAGAAATAAAAGTACATGGTGTCGATTCTTGTTTAAAATCCAATATTAAATGACAAGGCTTCATGGTCATTAGAATTCTGGCCGAACAATTTACATTTAGCTAAATAATATTAAGAGGGGGAAAACAAAACTTCCTTTGACACAAGACGAGAGTCAGAACTACTGAAACCCTCTATCATTTGTCTTCTGGTGAAAACTCACTGTAATACTACAGTTCTCTTCCCAGGCCTCCAAACACTTCATTCGGACAAGTGTTGTTCTTTCCTCCTCAGCAAAGACCAGGAAAGAGGAAGAAACTAGCAACTAACAGTGTAAGAAAAGCCAGTGGGCAGATAACAAGAAAACTCAAGGCCAGGGTTCACTAGTGGGTCCAGTAGGCAGAAATCTTAATTCCTTGGGATAGAGCCAATTGCTGGCTATAAACATGGGGCCTTAGCAATGGCCATCATAGTCTCCACCTTCCATATCCTTCCTAGTTTTCTGCAATAGTTACTGGTGATGGAACAACATCAAAGACTCAAAGTACTGATAGACGGCCTTCATGTACTTTGCCACTTTGCAGCATGCAGTCTGGGAAAGTGGGGTAAAAAAATGTATATCTGGAAAAACAGTTTGTTTCTTCTCCTTTTTAAAGAGATATGAGTCTTGCTTCCTTGTCCACCCAGCTGCTATCACTTGAGTTTAGACAATCCTGCTTCATAGGCACAGGCCACACACCCAGCTGGTTCCTAGAATTTTCTAATAACTTAAAAGAATTCATAAAATTTGGTCTCCCTGCTTTGGAAAACATGTATGCATAGTTATATGCAAATATTAAGACAGAGATAGTCATGCTGAACATATTTTAAACTCCCTGAGATGACACACAGAGACACCACCCCCATGGAGTCACAGTAGGAAGTAGATCATTTACAAGGATAACTTAAGAGTAAAACCAAATGTCCACTCAAAAAACTATACAAGGTAAATCATAACTTTGTGATTGGTTGTTGCCACAAATTTATTATGTCAAGAAAAGTATCATGCTTAAAATTCTCAAGAGAAATTTGGCACAAATTAAATCTCCTTTGGATTAAGTACCTGGTTTCTTAGATTAGTAGGGAAGGCTGACTCTTTCCTAAACTTGGGTCCCCTGTGTCTATAAAATATTCCCCAGCCTCTAGTCATCTTAACTCTCCTCACATGTGCTCCAGAATACTTAATGTATCAACCTCTCTTGTAACTGCATTCTGCAAAATTCATGCAGCTTCTCTGACATGTACTTAAAAGTCATTACCCAGCCTGGTGGTGGTGGTGGTGGTGCATGCCTTTAATCCCAGCATACAGAAGGCAGAGGCAGGTGGACCTCTGTGAATTCGAGGCCAGCCTGGTCTACAAAGCTACACAGAGAAACCCTGTCCTGAAACAAAACAAAACAATAAAAGTCACAGCCCCAAAGAGGACCCATCTTTGAGTGGAAGCAGATGACAGACAGTAACACTTTGTGCAGTCTTATTTTCCCCAGGATTCCTGACAGCAGTTAGTGTTCTAAAGTCTCTAGGGCTTTATGCCTCAGATGTTCATCCAAACATTGGATGGCAAAAGGGTCAACATCCATGTCAAACTTATTGGCGAAAAAGTGGTGTTTGCGAAGCATCCAGCTCAAGTCACCAGCTCCAAAAACACACACGGAGCGCACATGGACCCCGCTGCATGGTGGGTAAGGAGCGCCTTTGAAAACGTCGCCTTCAAAGTACTGCCACTTGACAAACCTAGCGACAGCATTCATATCAGACAAGTCATACTTATTGCTTGAGGGGAGAGAACCAGGGACTCCAGGGATCCTTTGGACAGTGGCCCAGAGGTACTCATCTGGGCTGTACGTGTCCTGTGCCCACTCCATGAACTTTTGGATATCTTCATTCTCTAGCACATACCCTACATATTCCCTAGTGACTACAAAGTAGGCACTGCCTGAAAAGAGAGGAGTTTTGAGTGGAGGCTGTGCTTTGGCTACCCCAGTGTTGGTTAGCTTCCCATCAACAATGGCATATTGTTTTTTCCATCTTTCTTCCTTGTTCTGAGGCATCTTCTCAGTTTCCAGGCTGTTTTCACCCAAGAAGGACTTGAGCTTCCTGACAATTTCTAGGTTGGTTTTGATAGGGAAATCCATACCACAAAGATTGATCAAGTACTTCCAGCTTGCACTCATCCTGTACAGGTCCTTCATACAGTTGAGGTCAGCCTGCACCCGACTCCAGGATGCATAAACAACATTCTCCAGCTGGCTAGCCACAAAGACGTTACCAAAGCAGGATGCAATGCCCATCACTGCAGCTAAAAAGGGTTCCTCGGCTTTTTTGTCCACGTGGATGCAGTAGAAATTCTGAGGCATATAGATGGCCCTCAGGAGCCTGTCAAGCATTTCAATCTTGTGGTGAACAACTATGGAATACGCTATTGGAAAGCCTACCTCTTCTTTGCTAAGGGGCTGTACAATATATTTGCGCATCCTGATGAAAGAGGCACAGTCACGAGTCATGTTTATATAATCATATGGTGTCCACCGAGGGCGCTTTCTGAATTTTACTGTTAGTAATTCAAGCTTCACCTTCTGGATTTCATCAGGGTCACTCTGTAAAACTTTGGTGCAATTGATATTGCTATTCGCATCATCTTCAGCAAGCTCCAAGTGTCTGATGCTAACAAATTCAGGCTTCTGATGAATTTTTAGAACAGAGAAAGTGATTAGAGAGAGGACAAGACCCAAAAAGTAGTATTTTGCAGGATAAGAGAAAAGTCTCCTCCGAAACAAGTTTCTCGGCATTTCAAATAACAGTCAGAGGTTTCCCTTTGAGATGGAGCAATCTTCCAGGCCTTGGATGCCAATGGTATTTCCTCCAGTTTCCCTCTGTTGTGGCCAGATGAGTCACCAGTAGGACAAGCTATCACTGGACGAGATGGCACTAAAACATAACGAAGAGCATAGTAATTGGAATCGTTTACAGAATATTCTCAGGCTCAAAACTATCTCCTTTACAATGAGGCCATATATTTCAAGCGAAACAAGACTGACTTAGAGAATGGAGATCACTTCATAGAAGACCTATTGTTCTCATATTAAAAGCTGGATACTGGGGGGGGGGTAAAAATCAAGTGCCAAACCTAATTCAAGGATGTACCAAAATATCCTACAATAAACATCTGAGTCTTAATATAGTGGTGCACACTTTTAATCCCATCACTCAGGAGGCAGAGGCTAGCCTGGTCTATACAGTGAGCTCCAGGACAGTCAGGGTAGGAGAGATTGTCTCAAAAACAAACAAAAAAACCAGACAATCTGACCTACACATATATAGAAGCACAGGAACACAGATGATGGTTACTGAACTGTCAACATGCCAGGAGTGCTAGCACTGCCAGTTCTAAGAATGATCACCTCTTAATATCTTAGTGTCATCACTAAGTTCCTCCTGACAGACATCAGCAGCTATCAGCTGCCAGGAGGTGTGTAAGGGTCAGATCCAATCTGCCTTTTGCTGCAGATTCAGAGTTGTGTCACACTATGTCAATCTGACAGTTGTCAAAACAACTGTCAATCTGAAGATCCTGGTAGCAAGACGATTAATTCTGGGTTTTTGAAGAGGACTGGAAAGGCTTAGCTGAACTGAAGTTAGATTGGTGACTGTGTTGGGTGGACCCCTAAGTGCAGTTCCACAGTGATAATATGTTCAATAAATGATACGGCTCTGTATCTCTTACACTGGCTATGACGGAATATAAAAGCCCTCAGAAAAACAATACTTGGGCTGGGAGTGTTGTTCGATTTGTAGAATGCTTGCTTTGCATGTAAGAAACACTGGACTCAGTGCCAGCACCACATAAGATCAGTCACATTGTATAACCCAAAATGCGAGAGGAAGAGGCAGAGTTGGGATCAGAAGTTCAAGGTCATCAATGTCATCCCTTGATGTGAGGCTACTTGGCTCAAAATTAGAAAAAATAAAAACAACACTTCTATAAATTGTCTAAATTAAAACGCCAAGAGCCTAACCAATTCTTAGTATATAAAATGCTTATAAATATTCAAATACTGTGTGTGTGTACACAGGTACATACACTCAGGGGTGGGGTACATGTACATGTGGTGGGCATTGTTTCTCAGTTGCTAGGTTTTTATGCAATAGGGTCTCTCATTGGCCTACAGATCACTGCGTATGTTAGGCTGGCTGGCCAGTGAGCCTCAGGGACCTGACTTTATCTGTCTCTTCAACACTGAGATAACAAACTATGTAAATACACCAACTTTGTTTTTTTGTTTGTCATGGATTCTGGGGCTTAAACTCAGGTTCTTAGGTTTATAAATCAAAGCTCTTCACTAAAAGAGCTAACTCCCTGGCTTTTTTTTTTTTTTTCTGTAAAATTTATTTTATTTTTAATTATGTGTATGGGAAGGAAGCATGTCCACATGAGTACAGGTGCCCACAGAGACCAAAGAGTCCCTGAGGTAGAGTTACACTTGCCGTTACATAACACTCCCAATGTGGGTGTTGGGAATCAAACATGGGTCCTTTGCAAAAGCAGCAAGTGTTTTTACCTGCTGAGCCACCTCTCCAGCCCCCACTGCGTTTTGTTTGTTTGTTTTGTCTTTTTGAGAACAATCCTATAAATTCAGTATAGGAAAGCCTTTAATCCAAGCCTTCAGGAGTCAGGGGTAGTTAGATATGTGTCATTTCCAAGCCAGTCAAGGATAGACAGTGAGAAACTAAACCAAACCAAACCAAACCAAATCAGAACCCCACAAACAAAAAGAACAATTTTGTTACATGGCAATTGGTTCTGTAATGAATAGCCCTATTTGAAAAATGATCATATAATCCATAGCAGATCTGAAATAATTTTTGGGGGGGTTGAGGGTTGTAGAGGGGAGAGTGTTTTTGTTGCTGCTTGGAGGTCATATTGGCCTTGAACTACCAAAGATCACATTCCTTCAGTTTCCCAAGTACTAACTGGGATTGCAGGCATGGGCCACTACTCCAGGCTTGACATATGCTTGACACCAGAATAAATGACACCACTTGAAGATACTTCATTTAGGAAGTAATTTAGTTAACACTAATTTTAGTTACTACTAAAAGACCCAGTGAAAAATAAATAACCAACAGGGCGACATTAAGGAAAACATTCAGACTTTTTACCTTTTAGAATCACAGGAAGGTTGGACTCGTTGGGGCCCTGGTTCTTGGTGACATCCTGCACTTGTTTAGAGGAGCTACTGTGCTGCCAGGTTTCTGTCGCACACCAGGCATCCAGCAATGATGACATGTCCTAGCAGGGTTTTCACAGTCTACAGAAGGAAGAGGGAAGCGGGTGAAGGGTGCTGATGGTGTTTGTAGCATGCACACCCCCAGAAAGCAGCTATTCCAGTATGCTTACCCTCCGCCCCCTCCCTCAAACCTGTGGCTCACTGAGGTCCCTCATCGTACTTCTTTTTCTAATACAATGTTTGCGATTGAATTGTGATTTAAGTTTAACTTCTTCCTCCCTCTCCTCCTCCTTCGTTGAGAATCAAATCAAAGACCTAATGCAAGTTAGTCTTTCTAAAACAGCCCTCGGGAAATGAGTGCTAGAGAACAATTAACAGTCTAATCTAGCTGGAGAATCCCACACACATCCCCCCCCCATCCGCATGAAATCTCCCTGTGCTCACGGACTTATTAACAACAGCCTCACTTGCTCACCGCATCGTCTTCCAATCACCAGTACTTAAATACAGTTCCTACCACTATCAACACCAGGGGCTTGAGAATGGCTCAGTGGTTATGAGTCTTGCTGCTCTTCCGGAGGACTTGAATTTGGTTCCCAGAGCCCGTGTCAGGTGGCTTCAAACCACCTGTAACTTCAGGCACTGTATTTACAACTATACACGATATACATAACTAAAAATAAAATTAGTGCTAACTTTAAAATACCAACAATATCCCTTTAAGTGATCCTTTCCTCATTTTAGTTTAGGGAATAAGGAAAAGTAATTCTGTCCAATTGTTAGCAGATCACCCCAAGGCTAACTGAATGATGACTTTCCCTTTCTCTTCTGAGGCAAGATTTCACTTTGTAGCCAAAACTTTTTGTGAATTTGTAACCCTCTAGCCTTCATCTCTAGGGTGCTGGGATTACAGGCCTGATTAGAGACTTGAGTGGCTTCCCACAATAATACAGCCTCAAAAAACCAAACAAACAAACAAGCAAACACAAAAACAAAACAACTCACAACAACAGCAGTAATAAGAAATCTTGGCAGGGCAGGGTGAAGGGCTGATTTTCAGAGTTAACACAAGATGTCTCCAACCATAAAATTAGTTTCACTGCTACTTCATAACTGTAGTTTTGCTACTGTTATGAATCATAATGTAGATACCTGTTGTTTTCTGATGGTCTTAGACAACCTTTCTGAATGTGTTGTTTGATTCCCCAGAGCGTTGCAACCACAGGTTGAGTATTGATGCACTAAATAGAACTGAGACTTACAATACCTGAACTGCTTTGGGGGGAGGGGGAAGTGGAGGGTGCAAAAGCAAGCCTGAGCTGAAAGAGTCAATGAGGCTGAAGAAAAGCTAAGTGACAGTATTCAGTCTGAGGAACAAAAAGAAAACGAAACACTGACAGCATCTTTGAGACCTGAGAGACAATAGGAAAAGCAAGCAGTGGACAAGGGAAGTCCCAGAAGAGAACAGAGAAAGAGGGTGTAGGAAGAATTGTGTAATAATGGCTGAAAAGCTTTCCAAATTCATCTATATGTTCCAACAGTTCAAATAGGCCCATGAATACAAAGCAGTATGACTAGACAGTTGGACAGTTTCTTAATACAACTTACCGCAGAGTAACAATTCAGACCAACAATTGTGTTCCTGGTATTTACACTAGTGAGTTGCAAAAGCTTGCAAATGAATGTTTACAGCAACTTCATCCATAATTGCTAAAATCTGGACATACATGTGATGTCCTTTAATTAAGCAAATAGGTAAATATACTGTGGGTTAGCCATAACTGACAGCAATGAGTTCACATCTCAGTGTCTTTAGTAAAGCAGAAATACGCACAGCCAACACATAGAGAACTGCAGATATAGTTCTTGCAGCAGGCAAGCTGAGTACAGGAGTAATTTCCAAAGCAGGGGTTCTATGCAGGGAGCCTATGAAATTTATATAGAAGTGGTTCATTCCTCAATAAGATAGATTTCAGGTCATGGAGATTACAGTGATGGACACTTTGGGACATGCTTAGCTTGTTGTATAATAAAGTTCTGCCTGGGAACAAAGAAAGGGATCTTGAAAATCACTAACAAAGGAGTCTCCTCCTGCTAGGCTCAGCCTTGCTCAGTGGCTAACATATCCACACAATGGAACATTACTGAACGATACAAGAAGTTATCTCATCACAACAAAACCCAGTTAGAAAAGACCAAAATCCGTGTTGTCCTAAGCACAGGATATTCTAGGAAAGACGAAACTGTAGAGAGAGTAATAAGATCACTATCTGTCAGAGGTGTGGAAGACGGGAGGATGAGTAAGTTGGGCCTGCTTGTTAGAGAGCAGGGAAATTACTCAGCACATGACTGTGGTCAAGGGACATTATGTACCCCTCAGAATGATCAGGAATTGACATCTGAGCACCAGGGTGCAGCTCATCAGTAGAGCACTTGCCTGGCATGCATGAGATGATGGGTTTAATTCTCAGTGTTGAGGAAAGGGGTAGGGGGAGCCAGTTACAATAAATACACCATACGTGGGGGTGAGAGACAGCTCAGTGGTTTAGAGTGCTTATTGCCCTTCCAGAGGACCAGGGTTTCATTCCCAGCACCCATGGCAGGCAGTTACAGTGACCTGAAACTCCAATTAAAAAGGATATGGCAACTTTTTTTTTTTTTTCTGGCTTCTATGGGGATCCATATGAACACACAGACACAGACAGACAGACAGACAGACACACACACACACATTAAAAAATAGTTATACAAGATTTCCATTACTGGAGAAATAGTACAAAATATGGAAGCTATTTTTCTCTGCAATTTTTCTGTAAACCTAAAACTGTTCCATATAAATCTATGAAAATGAATTTGTACACTCTGGTTTACTGAGCTCCAATGAATATATACTCAAAATCTGCCAGGTATGGTGGGCAGTGCCTTTAATACTAGTCGTCTTGGGACAGAGGCAAAGGTCTGGGCTATATAGTGAGACTGAACCTCAAAAACAAGACAAAACAAGAAAACCCACAAATGATTGTCATCAAATGATCACTAAAAAAATATTGAGAAATTATGGCTGTCCCAGAAAACTGGAATTTATGCTAATGTTGCTGCTCTATAAGGAATAATCAATGGGATTTGGCTAAAACAAAGGGAAGTTAGACAGTAACTCAAACCCACTCAAGACAACACATCGGTGGCAGTAAACATACAGATAAGCATATGGACTTTGAATGTATATTCTCTGTGTTACTCAGCCATCTGACTTGAAGGACAATTGAACAAACTAATAATGCCTTTGATCCTGTACATTTACCATCATGGTAAATGGAGACAGCAAAATGAGACATCGGAGAAAGGTATTTCCATGAAGAGCTGAAGTTACACGGAAATACACATGAAGGTTACACTAACTAAAGATTCTTAACTTACGGATTGGAATAAAATAATTCCCCAGTGAGAAGAGAGAAGAGAACCTGAAAATAGAGGTTATGAACACGTGACTAAAACACATGAAAGACTAAACTTTAAAAAGAGACTCTTGGTTTTATGATCACTCTGTGTGTTACAACATAAAATAGGTAATCTCCCAGGTCAAGGCAAAAGTCATCTGGGTCCTCAATGGAGAGGGAAGGAAGACACATGACCTTGGATGAAGAAAAAGGAGTCATGAAGAACTGGGGAAGAGCAGAGGGAAGACAAGAGTCCCAGCCCACACAACAGAGACAGGAAGAATGAGCTCTATTTATATACAGTACAGGATCTTCAAAAGGTTTAACGATTTGGTGCTGGCATACCTTTCAAAAGAGGTTTGGAAGTTGTTTACAAAATAGTTGGGTCTCCATCTCAAGCCTGGCTAAGACCAAGGCTTCCTCTCTGCAGAAGTGCCCCAGGAAAGTCTGTGATCCCCAGCAGAAAACAGAGGGCCCAAACAAGTCGAATTGTGAGGTGGGCTCTGGCTCACTTGCTTTCCCTATCAGCTCCTTGGAATATTTGGTCATCAGTGCAACACAGTTTATTTACTAGGGAATGTAGAGTAGAGAATGAGACTTAAATATCTTTCTTACAAGTGGGTACTTAAGTGTTGAAACAGACTTTAGGAAGAAGAAAACTACCATTAAGATTCTCAGAGAGACACTGTGTCTCCAAAAATAAATTATATGATGGTGCCAGTAAGATGGCAGAGCAGGTGTAGGCATGTGCCACCAAGCCTGACAATCCCTGGTGCCCACGGTGGAAGGAGAAAATTGACTTGTGCTGCAAGTTGTCTTCTGTGCTCCATACATGCATGACGACTGAATACCCCCCCACACACACACCCTACTTAAACAAACAAGTAAAACAGAAAATATAAATGAATAAATAAAAATAGCCAAGGTAGATTACATTGTCAAAAGGCTGCTGGAACAGTGCTGTCCTATGCTCTTCCATAAGGTGACTTTGCCAGGCCACGTTCAAGCAGTCCACCCCTGCCCCCACACCAATCTGGACAGGTTATGATTATGTTGACCAAAAGAGTTTGGCAGGAATGACACTGAGCAGGAATGACACTGAGCACCCATGTCAGCCCTTGTAGGAACATGCAGCTCCCACCTCCCTGCCTTGGAAAGTGGACTATCCAGAAGCTCCTTTCATAATAAATTCCATGCTATGAGAAACTACAGGGAGAAATCAGACAGTGGTACCCCAGCCAGCATCAGCTCCAGTCATCACAGGTGCCACAAGTAAGTGGATAAACCATCAGGTGACTGGACAGTGATAACCCTAGCCATCAGTTCTAGGCATCACAGGAGCCATGAGCAAGTGGATAAATCAACAGTTGAATGACTGCTGCTGTGCCAGTCTTAACTGAATCCTTGAGCGTGTGAATTAAAATTAAAGTAGATGGGGCTACATTTGAGATGGTTTGCTCCATAGCAATAGGTTAGCAGAGCAACAATCGAAAAACAACAGGATACCTAGCAAAGGAAAACAGGCCTTTAACATTAATGATGTGATAGCAAACATCAGAAAAGTCAATAGAAAGAGTAGGAGTTACAGAGGCAAAATGACTCATGGAAGAGGCGAGGAAAAACACAGAAGTTTCAGACAGCATG